TTTGTTGTGTTTTTTTTGGTGTTGTGTTTTTTTTTTTTTTTTTTTTTTTTTTTTTTTTTTTTTTTCCCCCCTCACTCCAGTGAGTTTGGTAACCAGCGGTATGAAGTCAGCCATGTCCATAAAGTGGAATGTGTTGTACCATGGTTAAATGATGCCCTTGTCTTCTTCACAGTTTCACTGCAGCTTTGCCAGCAACTGAAGGACAAGGTACTGGCCTTAGAGAAGGAGCTTTCTTTTTAACTCTGGGTTTTGAGAGGACCTCAGATCTCCTAAAAATCTGATGTGATGATGTTCTATACAACTTATGCATAAACTGAAAACAAGCGATGAGTCAGTGCTCTGAAGCTAGAGAGCTGGCTGGCACTGCCTAGCAGACAGCCGTCTGGGATAAGCGTAGTAGTGTGGCAGATGTGTTTGCTGAACTAGTGACTAGATGGAGAGGAGCTGGTAGACGCTTTTGTGTTCTTAGTCATGAGCTGGATGTGAGGAAATGCCAGGGTGCCAGAGAGGAGGCACGGAGACCTCAGCAAATTAGATTCCAGTAGACCAATGTTCAATTCCAGCTCTGCAGCTGACCTGGCTACCACCTTGTGCAAGTAACTTTGTGTTCCAGGCCTCTTCAGTGACAATAGCAGCAAATCTGCCCTTCTGCAGTGTAGTGCTGGAGTGTGTAATGCTGTAAAGCTCAATCTTCATGCACATGTTATATGCTCTTTCTTCTATGGCCCAAGGGATATAGGAACTTACCTGCTTTTCTTCTTGTTTTCCAGATCTCTGTTTTCTCCAGTTACTGGAACTACAGGCCATATTAATTCTCTGTGGAGTGTCCAAGTCCTTACAGTACTTCCAGTGTCTCCCTGTTTGTTTTCAACACATCAGCTGAGTCCAAGTCAGCCTGAGGAGTGCTCTGGTTCACTACCATGTGGCCCTCCTGTAGGGTAGGGTCAGTGTATCTAGACACAACTTTATTAGCCTTGTCTGGGCCTGCTGCATAAGCAGGGCACCAAACAATGCTTTGTGGTTGGTGAGAGCTCCCACCTGTCTTTGTTCTCATGTGTGTTGTGTGGTTTACAGTTTCCAAGCCCCTGATGAAGTACACTAGTCCATTACAAGGGATGGGGAGCTGTGGACCACTCTCACTAACTGTATTTGCACACAGTGCTGTAACTAACTGCTGGACTGTGAGCAGGCTGGGAAGGGATGAAGACGAATTTAACACCACAGAAGGTGTAGGGCATGCTGCTCATTGTAGTGAAATATGTTGCTGTGATCAGGGCCAGCTGTGGTTATGACCAGCCCTAAGCTTCTCCCTCTCCTATCTGTTCTGTCCATGCCCATGTTATTGATTCCCCTTTGGGGATATTTTTGCTGCTGTTTGAACTCATTTTTCCCTGGCATCAATGTGATAATTTTTTTTTCCTAAGCCCTAGTTGGGCCAATTGGTTTTTTCCAGGTTTAGTGTCTTGTTTTCACTGCCAGTCTTTGGAGCTGCCTCAGTACCTTGACCACAGCTGTGCAGTCTCACATCCTGTCATTAAACCCAAAGTGAGTACCACATTGTTACTACGATTTGCTGCCTACCTATGGATGCTACAGTATGTAACTCGTCCCTCTAACTATTGATAACTGTGAAATAAAGATCCTCAGACCTGCCATGCTCCTGTCGGCTGTCAGTGCTGGGAATGAAAGAGTACCAAAGCTTACGTGCTCTCTTACAAGTGAGTGGCTGTTCTTAGTTACATATGCTGGATTACTGTTTGCCTTACCAGTCTCTGAGGGTGGAGCTGGGCAGCTCTTTGAAGACTGTCCCTGGTTTGTGTAGCCTCAGCCCAATGCTGCCTGACACTCGAGCACTATCTGAAGTACTTTTCCAAACTTCCCTTGACAGTCATGTTTGTAAGAGGCTGTAGGTACTGAGACTGGGTTGGGCTGGCTCATGGACCTGGCTGTCAAGTGATGAGGAAGCATCACCTGTCTCCTACTTGGCTCCGGCTTAGCCCTGCACAGCCTTTGTTTCTGGTGGCTTTCCTCACTGGAGTGCCTTACCCAGGAGCCTACATGCGTGCTGAGGTGAAGACTGCACAAGGTCCCTACAAAACGTCAGGTCCATTGGAGCCTATCTTGACAGTATGGTTGTCAAGTGCTATCCAGAGCGCTGTGCTCAAAAGGAAGAGATCACAGAATGATTGAGGTTGGTAGGAGACCTCTGGGGTCTATCTGGTCCAATGCCCTTGCTCATGCAGGGCTACCCAAAAACCTCCCAGGACCATGTCCAGATGACTTTTGAATAGCTCCAAGGATGGACACTACAGATGGCTATGTTGCTTTGATTTTTTTGTTGTTGTTTTGGGGTTTTTCTGGGAGTTCTTTGTTTCTCCTGCATAGACCTCTGGTCTGCGCATGTGTGGTACCTACCTTGTCTGCGACCTCCCTTTCTGTCCCTTTGTGAGATCCCTGGGATCCCGAGTGGGTTAGTGCCAGCCTTGTTACTGCTGCAGCCTCCTCCTCTGAGGACTTGACACTTGGTGCTGTGCTTGGTCTAACACGTGCTAATATTAGAGGTTGCAGGCAAATGAGTATCAGGCTGTGGCTGATGAATGTGTTTGTTAGTAAGTAATGAAAGTTGGAAGGTAGAGAGGCCTGCATGGGCTGATGCAATAGCAGACTCGTTAATGATTCCAGTGAATTAGCCTTATGACTAGCTGCGGTCATGACCCTAGGTACACATTTACTAACCCTTGCTCTGTTCCAGACTGTTCTCTGCTTAGAAAGTGATTGTGCATGTGTGGAACCGCTTACCATTAACAGCTTCTCGGACAAGAGTATTTTTATAGTTAATAATCTCTCTGGAGCTGTCTGTGCTTTTCTTTAATCCTCCCTATGTGTGGAGGACGCTCCTTTTTTTAATTCACACTAGTGTGTGCAGTCCAGTCAGTTGCCACATCCTCTCCAACTCAGCTTCCCGCTGATAGGAATATAACATGCAACCGAGTGTGTGTTTTCTTCTGATGAAAATAGTCTGGAGCTCTGGAGGGCGGGAGTGTGCAAAATGGAATACCTGTCCTGATTCCAGCTCTGATGCACAGTGGCTGTGTCGTGACAACTGCTGGGTGGCAGTGGTAGCTGCTACAGCACACTGCATAGGTCACTGTTACAGAAGAACAGGGTAACAGCAAGGTAGGTGGGATTCAATGGGAGAGGCTGGCCCAGAGCCCTGGCCTGTTACCCTGTGATTTGAAAGATGAAACACGAGTCCACCAGTTAAAAGACTTAACAGTCTATCTCTTTTCCCCATTAAACCTCTGAGCACAGAAGAAAATTTACAAGGCCCTAAGGGCTCTGCTTTTGCAGCCCTGTGAGGTTGGTACTGGGGTAGCTACTGGCAGCCCACCCTCCCTTTGCAGATGCTTTGTGCGGTGGGACACAATCTTTGGCAAGTGCTTGGCAGCACGACGTGTGTGTGAAGTTTGGGCTGCTCTGTAGTACCGCAAGGGCTTTTGATTGGTACATGTACTGATGAATGCTGTTGTGCAGCTGGAGCAGAATGAAATATTCAGACTGTCTGCCTTTTCCTGGGCTGGGTTTTTAGTGTCTTTTTTTTTTTTTTTTTTAGGAGAAGCTATAGTTCTCAGGAGTAAAACCTTCCCTGGTGGCACCTGTCTTTTTCCCTTTTGCTCAGGGAATCTCTGCTTATGTCTTCAGGGTATAGAGGTCTGCTGCTTAGATCCACTGGCTGCCTGCTTTTGATGGGTCTAGCAGTTGAGTTGTTGCTGCCTGGATGCTGCTAGTTCTGGAGCCACAGAAGACGCTGATCCATGGACCTCTGCTTGATGAGCTTCTACATGCTCTTCAAAAAGGAATTAGAGTTGCCTCAACTAAGATGGAGAAGGCACTTGCTAGGCAGCTTTCAACAACAGCACTGCAGCAGGCTAATGACAGAGCAGAACCACAGACTAAGACAGCAATGAAGAAAGTTTTTTTTTTTATGGCTGCCTCTAGTCTGTCTCAGTCTGAGCAGCTATTTCTGCATTGTCCACAGAATAGTGACAGACAGTGAGCAGAATCCCAGGCTATGCTTCCCAGCATCTCAGCACTGAGCAGACAATGTCTCCTTGCTGAGCTCAGCTAAGGCTAAATATTTGTAAAGATATAATCATTTTTTCCTGGAGCTGGAGTTGAAACTAAAGGAATTTGTGTGTGCTGATGCCAGTCTGCTCAAGTATTGCCACTGCCAGGACTTGCTTGGAATTGCACCTAACATCCCTGGTCTCATCCTGCCTTCCAGCTGTGGTGGAAACATTGGAAGGGCATGTGCCATCACCCCCATTCATGAGTAGGTGCTTGGCTACCTTTCAGGCTGCTGCCTTCAGGAGTCAGTGTTCTCAGGACAGAATTGGACCTTTCTTGTTCTGTATGTGCCCCAGCAAAAATGGTCACTCTGCACTGTCATGGGATCACCTGTGGGGATGCAGAGTCTCACCCTAAAGCAGAGGGGCTGTACCAGTTGAAAACCTGGCTCCACCTGGGACTGGACTGGGCTGCTAGGTAAGGAGTCAAGTTGGAGGCATTGCTAATCTTTGGGATGAAGAACAAGCTTTCTCTTCGGTGCCCCGAGCATCCTATCCAAAGGTCATAGGGAGGAGGGAGCCACTGTTCCCTCATATAGAGCAGTTTCATCTTCACGTGCTTTTGTGTCCCCTGGGAAGAGTGAGGCAAGCTGTTTCTAAAGTTGATGCAGCACATAAAGGAAGCTGTCTCATTGATGACATGCACCAAATGTCTCTGCAGGGACTAAAAGGGTTCCCAGAAGCTGTGGCTGTGCTTTGAAGCATCTTCAGAGCCTTGTGCTGCCTCTTTATGGATGGTCATAGCCAGGGACAGTGCTATGCTTTGCTTTCAGTCCTGCTGGAAATTAAGCCTGTAATGGAAGGGCTGGAGCCCAAAACCCTGAAAAGCAGCATAGCTGGGCCTCCCATTCAGTCATCTCAAAAGGTATCTTAGTATGAGGATGCTCCACAGTATGTTTTGGTGATCAGCAAGTATGAGCTGGGAAAAGTATCCCAGCCTCTAGCTGGAGGGAAACAATAGTTTCTCCTACTCTCTCCTTGCCCTCACCCGTTAGTGGCTACTGTGGCTGCTGGCTCTGCATGGGGGAGTACCTATTCTCCATTTTGGCTGCAGTAGCCGAGAATGATCTGTGGCTTGTAGCTGAGAAGTCTGCATTAAGGTACTGTATCTTACGGGGATTGTGGGGTGGACAGACTCAAGTGGGTATATTGGCCTAAGATGACATTGCAGGTACCATGCAAGGAGTTCGCATTCATCCACATACAGAGAATCAGAAGGGCAGTTGCTGAGGTTGTAGAGGATGATGGAAGGGAAGTGGCTGGGCAGCCCTTGGCACTCAAGGTGAAGACAAGAGTCTGATTTGTAGGTGCAGCAGAGGGAAGAAGCAGGAGGCGTCGTTTTGTCCAGTCATGAGGTGGAGGGGGGTTTAGGGCTGCATTGCCAGGTTGTCTCTGCCCACTTTCCTTCTGGGAATCTAGCTGTTTTGGAAAAGGTTGTGTTGTCGTAAAGAGGAGGGAAACAAGACTGCACATGCATGAACGCACAAATTAAAATAGTCTCCATGCTTTGTCCGTGCTCAAGCCCAGGTACCACTTCCCTCCCCCAGAACAGTGCAAAAGTCCTGGGTACGTCTGTGCCTGCTCAAACAGATCCAGCCTTCTCTCTCTTCCCCATTAGCTTCCCTATGTGAACATCAGGGGTGACTGGTGCAGCCACATGCTGCTGGTCCCTCACCAGAGGATGCAGGCCACCACCTGGGGACAGGGTGATCCTTCTAGCCTTGACTTAGGGCTGGCCTTGCAGGGTGGGGAACGCTGCGCCCAGGCTAGAGCAGGAGCTTGGCAAGACAACTTCTGTCATGCAAAAGCTGCCCTCATTTCATGCAACTGCTGTAGATGCAGGCTGTTGAGTCAGTGTGGCACCCTGCTCTCCTCCACAGGCCTGGCTGGCAGGAGGGAGAAGTGGGACCCAGCCTGCAGAGCTGGGTGGGTCCATGGCAATGGGAAGCTTCCAGCTTTTTGGAAGCCTGGGCTGCCTCTGCTGCAGGAGGAATGGATGGAGAAGGCAGCAAGGAGGCACCGACCCGTGCCCCCTTGGCTGCCAGGACTGTGGGGCCCTGCCTGCAGGGAGGAGAGAGCAGGAAGGCAGGGCCTTGGCTTGGAGTTCCCTGGACCAAGGCCTCAGAGCGAGGGGTGGGCTGTGCCTGGGGCACCTGGGAGGAGAAGGGAATGGCCCAGGGCTTGTCCAGGCCCTGCCCACGCCCCCTCCCTCCCTCCCAGTCACCGTTCCCTGTTAGCCGGGTCGGGCCTCACCCTGCTGCCTGAGTGCTGGCTCTGCCCCACGTCCCCTTCCCCAGCACCCGGGACAGAGCTGGCTGCCGTCGTCCCCAGACAGCACCTACCACCAGGCAGGAAGGTGCAGGGCAGCAGCGGGAGAAAACCTCCCCTGGCAGCCATGTGGTGCTCGGGCAAGGGCAGCGCCAGGGCCCAGCTTCCCAGCGATGTGGATGCGGGTGCCAGCCCTGTGGGAAGGCAGGTCCCCTGCCCTTCCACAGGGGGGCAAAGGCTGCAGGGCCTGGGGGCCAGGCCCAGCTGGAAGAGATGGGCACCTGATGCCAGGCCTGTCTTGTCCCCACAGTGGCACCCCAGAAAGTGGCCCTTTCCCTGGGGTCAAGGTGTCCGTGCCCAGCCTCTCAGCCACAGGCAGTGTTGGGAGTGGCAGGGGGGGGCTTTTGATGGGCATGCCCAGCCCTGCCACACTGCAGCCATGCCTTCCTGTGGTGCATCACAGTGCGGCGCGGGGAGCAACAGGAAAGCTTGCAGCCATGCCAGGGGGCTGTGGGTCGTGGCCCTGGAAAGCGGGTCACAGGCAGCATGTGGAGTCACCCATTGCTGACCACTGTGCTGCCCTTCCCTGAGCACACAGGGGCAGATCCTGCGGGTTCCAGAGGAGCTGCTCCAGAAGAAAACCTCTCCAGCCCAGCGCTCGGCTCCCTCCCCCAGTAGGTGCCTGGGCTCCCTGTTCATGTGGCTCAACCTGGCCTCCAGACGCTCCTGTCTTGCTTTCCTGTGCCCAGACTGTGAGATTGGAAGGGCTGAGACATGACAGCTCCACAACATCCACGCAGAGGAGCAAAAGGTATCATATCAATGAAAAGGAATAGGAAAGCAGAAAGTGATTGACCCATAAGGCATGCTGCTTTCATTGTCTCATCTGAGTGAAACCAGAGAGCATCACAACTGACTAAAAAAAATGGAGTACTGAAAATTTATTTTCCACACGTTTTTAAAAACAACAGTTAAAAATGAACAGTAATATCAGCTTGAGGCAAATAATTTAACTACCATGTTGTAGAATGAGCCTATTTTTTTCTGAATTATGAACATTTTTTAAACTGGTAGTCCTGTGAGGAGCAGAGAGTTGGACCCAATGTTTTTTATGGGTCCCATCCAGCTTTTGAGATATTCTATGATTCTGCACAGTTCAGGGGTACATGGTGTGATCACACACACTTTTTGTCTTGCAGGCTGCGAAACAGCCTAGTCCTCCTGCAAAGATGTCTGACTTGTTTTCCCTTTATGTGGCTGCATCCTGTTTGCTTTCCCTTTTTCTTGCTGAATTCACTTATGCATGAAGGGAGCTGCACTCACACTCCCTATGTAAGGATGTCTGTGTGTAGATGCCAAGGGGCAGCAAATTCCTGATGACCTAAAAATTATCTTTCAGGTTCTCTTGATTATTGACCAGGCACACGATCTTAAAGAATAGTCTTTCAGAGGATTGCTGCCATGGTGGATAACCCCTCTACCCAGGTCAGTGGGTGTGTGCCTGCCAGGGTGGGTCCCCAGGAGCCAGCTGAGGAAGGGGACACCAATTGCAGAGCTCCCCTTACCCTTGGCCTGTCAGCAAATCAGCCTCTCTCCCGCTGTCCTCTGCCAGCACTGGCAAAGATTTCATGGGGTAGATCAGGGCGAGAGGGGCAGGGCCTCTAGGACCCACCTGTTGTGGAAGTCCTGGCCCGGTTGCAGGTAGCACTTTCAGGTATCTGGGCACCAGCTGCCTGCTGGCCCCGGGGCACAGGGAGTTCTGAGCCAGGCAGGGCTCATGTCTCCTGAATTGCTGTGGGCAACAAGGATGAGGAGCTGGAAGGCAGCGTCCTGCAAGGGATTAGCCCAGCATGGAGGCTCAGGAGCCCTTGCACACAACATTCCTGC